TGGATTGACGCAAATAGTCATCCGTCCTCCTGCATTTGAATAATAACCCATCTACAGTGTGTCCCGAAAAAAACTATACACTTTTGAAATGGCTGCCGAATAAAAAATATATGATTCTAGGGGAAAAAGTTGTATATGTATGGAAAGCCCATAAACTCAACTTTCATATGACACCAACAAGTTTGAAAATAATTCATGCTTGGGTGAGCACTGCTCACTTTTGTAAAGGGTATGAAAATTAGGTTGCGCCGGAATTAGCCTTCCAATGTGTGAGAGGTAAATCCTTTGGAGCTTACAACATTGAGGGTGATATGATAAATTCATGATTTGCTGAGTGAATTCCATGGTTTATTAAACCAAAATTTTATGCACGGAACAGGAATTTCATTTTTCTATTGTAGCATTGTAACTTTCCCTAGTAGACTCAGTGGTGTGTTCATGAGAGTCAGGATGGGGTGATGGTACATGTTGTAATTTCCATGTTACAAACTGTTATTTTTATGCCTCCGTTACGAAGTAGCCGGAGGCATTATGTTTTCGGGTTGTCCGTCCGTCCGTACGTACGTCCGTACGTACGTACGTCCGTCCGTCCGTACGTCCCGTTCTCGTGATCGCGTTATCTGAAGAACCGATGGATGGATTCCTGCCAAACTTTGGTCATGTATGTATCTTGCAGTGTCGATGAACTGATTAGATTTTGGGGTCACGAGGTCAAAGGTCAAAGGTCACAGGGCTCATTATATATGCAAAACAGCTCGTGATCGCGTTATCTGAAGAACCGATTGATGGATTCCTGCCACACTTTGGTCATGTATGTATCTTGCAGAGACGATGAACTGATTAGATTTTGGGGTCACAAGGTCAAAGGTCAAAGGTCACAGGGCTCATTATGTATGCTGAAACAGCTCGTGATCGCGTTATCTCAAGAACCGATTGATGGATTCCTGCCAAACTTAGGTCATGTATGTTACTTGCAGAGCCGATGAACTGATTAAATTTTGGGGTCATGAGGTCAAGGTCAAAGGTCATGCGGCTCATTATGCATGCAAAAATAGCTTGTGATCGCATTATCATTAGAACAGATTGATGGATTCCTCCCAAACTTAGATCATGTATGTATCTTGCAGAGCCAATGAACTGTGTAGATTCTTGGGTCATGAGGTCAAAGGTCAAAGGTCATGGGCTCATTATGTATGCAAAAATAGCTTGTGAACGCATTCTCATTAGAACTGACAGATGGATTACTATTTAACTCTGGACATCTTGCAGAGCCAATGAACTGAGTAGATGTTAGGGTCATGTGGTCAAAGATCAAAGGGTCATATATGTATGTGAGAAATTGCTTGTAATCACAATATTCTGAGAACCTGTTAATGGATTACAATAGAACTTGAATTTGAACAATTTCTTCTGTTTTGGTTTGTAAAATTGCTCTATGACGGAGGCATCATTTCGACTGCGCGCAGTCGAAGTTCCATCTAGTTTACATTTGTGACTTTGAATAAAAACCTTCACCCCACATTTCAGTTACCATTTACCTGAAGAATAAGTAGCCGACATCTTGGACATTCCTTTTTTCAACAAACCGTATTTGAATATTCGATTTACATTATCCCTACCTGGGTATTGAATAAATCAATGAGATGTTCAACTAATCTTACAATAATCGAAAATGAAGGTTTTCATTCAAAGTCACAGAGAATAACAGTTTGTAACATGGAAATTACAACATGTACCATCACCCCATCCTGACTCCCATGAACACACCACTGAGTCTAACAGGGAAGTTACAGTGCTACAATAAAAAAAATGCAATTCCTGTTCACTCATGCATAAAATGTTAATCCCATAAACCAAACATTTCACTCAGCAAACCCAAACTCATCACAATTGATCATAAATTGGTCATATCATCCTCAATTCCGTAAGCTCCAAAGGATTTACCTCTCACACATTGGAAGGCTAATTCCTGCGCAACCTAATTTTCATACCCTTTACAAAAGTGAGCAGTGCTCACCCGAGCATGAATTATTTTCGCAACTTTTGGTGTCATATGAAAGTTGAGTATATGAGCTTTCCATACATATATAACTTTTCCCCTAGAATCATATATTTGTTATTCAACAGCCATTTCAAAAGTGTATAGTTTTTTTCGGGACACACTGTATTTTAGCCATCAAATAGCATCTTCAACATCAATATGCAAAGGAGCTTGATGCTTGGGAATAACCAGACTTTGCGCATTGACGTCAAAAACACAGAAATCTATCCTCCCAAAACACAAATTGATACAGTAGAAAACCTAGGTAACTAATTCTTAAATCCATGTTTGTGAAAACATTTTTTTTAATGTACGACAGTTGGACAAATCCCATTTTGTACTTTGTTGGGCTCAACTGTCGATTAATTATCATCTATAACATCAACATGCAAAGTAGCTTGATGCTTGGGAATAACTAGACTTTGGGCATTGACGTCAAAAGCACAGAAATCTATCCAAAAAAAACAAATCGATTCTAGTAGAAAACCAAGGTAACTAATTCTCAAATCCATGATTTTGAAGAAAAAATTTGAATGTACGACAGTTGGACAAATCCCATTTTGTACTTTGTCAGGCTCAACTGTCAATTAGCTACTCTTGGCTTGCATTTACGTCATTGTGCTGTAATCTTATAGAGAGAACATGACATGTACATGTACGTCCTTCTAAATAGCATCAAAGTGTTCTCTTCATCGGGGGTATGTGAACACATGGTTTCTTTGTTTTATAATTCTGTTGACTGCATTCTACAGTATCTTTGTCCACAGGAAACCTGGGGGGGGGGGCATTTCACAAAGCCTTTTTTCAATGACAAAGAACAAAAAATCAGTGACAAATCTGCTGATAACCAAGCAGAAGCAAGGATTTCAGTAGCTTATAACACAAATTGTCACTTGTCACTGATGACAAGTTTTGTGAAACGCCCCCTGATGGTCTCTGTATTAAAACATATATGGGGAAGGAGAGGATTCAGGAGCTAAAGGGTTAATGAACTATAGCAGTTCAGAAATCAAGGAATATTAAACTGTTCTTCAGAATATAGTTCACGCCGAGCAATGTTGTTGCCAATGAATTTGTAATTGTCTTAGCAGCAGCAGCAGTAGTATAGTATGGTAGCAGTACTAGTAGTAGAAGTAGAAGTAGTAGTACTAGTAGTAGTAGTAGAAGTAGTAGTACTAGTAGTAGAAGTAGAAGTAGTAGTACTAGTAGTAGTAGTAGAAGTAGTAGTACTAGTAGTAGAAGTAGAAGTAGTAGTACTAGTAGCAGTAATAGAAGTAGTAGTACTAGTAGTAGAAGTAGAAGTAGTAGTAGTACTAGTACTAGTAGTAGTAGTAGTGTAGTAGTAGTAGAAGAAGAAATAGTAGTAGTTGTAGTAGTAGTATTAGTAGTAGTAGTAGTAGTAGTAGTAGTAGTAGTAGTAGTAGTAGTTGAATTAGTAGTATTAGCAGTAGTAGTAGAAGAAGTAGTAGCAGTAGGAGTATAACAAGTAGATTAGTATAAAAACAATTGAAAAATCAAATCAAGTACATGTTCAGCCTGTATTCCAACAAATATAGAAGATATTAGTGAAAAAAATTGGTAGCCATAATCAATTTATTATGATCCACATACATGTACTTCATAAGATTTTTTTATTTTCTCAAAAATTGAATTCAGCAACTTGTGAACTAATTTTGTTTTGCTCTTGAATCCAATGCCTAGCAGCCATGCCCTTCTAGTAATCATTTTCAATATAGTGTTGCTATAGCAACCACAAAGATGGATGAAAGAGATTGTAATTTGTAAGCAAACTCTTCCTTGCCTAGCCTGGAGGGAAAAACTCCATATAATTGGGCAATTTTGTCAGTCTTACTGTCATGTCGTATTTATAGAAATGTAGTTTTGTAACCAAGGGCAGAACAAATCTGATGTTTTCATCTTCAGGTGCAGTGGAAAAGTGCCATACAAATTAACTTGTGTAAGAGGACAGTCTTATGTCCCATTGTTTGAAAACTCTCTTTTTTTTAAGAGCCTACATGCCCCCAACCCTACATGTACATGACAACTTCCAGATTTTTGTGCAGCACTGTGAAATATGAAACTTCCACAAAGTTTGCGCGTGATTGAGTTTTGCAAAAGTTTCGTGCTGCTCAGATCACATCGCTAGAATTTTTTTTGGTGGTACAGTAAACTGGAATCCATGTCAACTTCTAAGTTAATTGCCATTTTAAGTATGAAGAAGAACAAGGTCTTAATGTATCTCTGACAGAAAGAACTGTTAGATATAACTTGTGTGTGTTTGTGTGGAGGGGGGGGGGGGAGCTCAATTTGTAGGTTCATTCTGAATTTTAAGAGTTATTTGCTGCCAAAGCCCCTTTAAAAACACTGCAATATTGCTATTCTTCCTTTAGATTAAAGGTATGCCACACAAATAATCTCCCTGTGTCACACTGTATTTAATATGAGATAAGTATATCAAAAGCTTCATGATTATTCAACTATTATACCGGTCTTAAAAGGTTTGCCATCAAATTAATCAAGACCAGTATTAAATGAGTAATTTCATAAAGCCACTATGTTGCACAAAGCTCTCCTTCCCTCAATTGTTACCTATCATTTTGTGAAAAAATACATGCAAAAGCTTCTGTGCATATAAATACGATCAACACTTTGATAGAAAAAGAGGATACGCTCACTATTTCTTTTCAGGTTGCATCGGCCCAACTTTGGAATATATTATCAGAAAATCTAAAAAAACTGTGATACTGTTGACAACTTTAAGGCACGTCTTAAAACATTTCTTTTCAAAAATACTTTCCAATGTTAACTAGAGGAAGAATGTTGAGCTTATCTCATTCTTCTTATGTTACTCTATATCTTTCCTTCTTTCTCTTTCTTACATCGCATGGAGACATATTGTGATATGCGCTATATAAGTATGGTATATTATTATTTTGTCTTTTGTTTTTGTTTACTGCAGATCACATTAAAGACCGTGATGGACCAGCTCCATGAAAAAGTGTCTGACCTTCTGATCCCTCAAGGTGAGTTATACATACATACATAAAGGGTGGTATTCTCGAAAGCAGACTAACTTTAGTCCATGGTTAATTCACTGACTAAGTATGGAATGCCAAGTGTCCATATGAATATGTTTTTGAATAATTTAATGTGTCACTAAATTAAAATAAAATGTAATAACATAATTAATAAACAACAATATAACTATGATATAATTATGTTATTATGGTAATTTAGGGACATATCAAATTATTCAGAAATATATTCATATGGACACTTGGCATTCCATACTTAGTCAGTGGATTAAACCATGGACTAAAGTTAGTCCGCTTTCGAGAATACCACCCAAAGTCTTGTTTGAGGGCTTACTTTCAAAGGGGTCATCGCGTCTGGTCTGATGGTCCTGTTACACGACCTTTGTGATACAAAATGTGAAGATGCAACTTTTTGCGATCTTAAATAGCTGAATTCAATTACTTGTAACCTTATCACTGCCCATGATTGTACAATTTTATATACAGTAAAAATGGCTGTAATATTAAGGTTGGAATATGATAGAGGCCTGTTTAATATAAACTTCAAATTGATAAAAAAAAAATTACTGTTAGATGCATCTGTAGTAGATATCAATGGCTGTTTAAAAGTGCAAAGTATTTTATAATGTTGTGTAGCTCAGCATGCTTATATTGGCCCACCTCTCTTAATGAGGACAAGAGAAAGAAGGAGAGAAAAAGAAAAGAAGATGTGAATAGTGGACCTGTATGAACTTGTAGGAAATAGAAAAGTAAAAGAGACATTAGTTCCTGTTTTTGAATGAATGTAGCTGCCTAACGCAGCCATTTTCAGAAGTAAATGATTCCCCAAATCCAGGCCCCTCTTTGTCAAGTGCTTATGGATCTGTCTGGAACACTCTGCGCATACGGAATGAATAACTATCCATCACGTCGAGTTCATTCTGTTAGCAACGCATGATGAAATGTTTCTCTCGGGTCGCATAATGACTCAACATGTATCACTGATGACTTTGCTCTTTGCTTCTGACGGCAGATTTGATCGGTTATCTACTCTTCACACCCGACCTTTGCACCCCGGCTGAGTTCCTGAACAGATACGATCAGCCAATGGACGTGGTCTTAGACAATGGTGAGCTTTGTCATGTTCTTACAATTGATTTTATTTATTGATTTCTATATCACATTTTAAACTTACATATTTAAAATATACATAATGCAGGGGTGATAGTGAGCACCAAAAAAAAAAGGTTTTTTTTTCCCTCTACCACGCCCCCCTTGAGCAAAAAAAAAAAAAGAAGAGAATTCGCGGGGAAAAATGGCATCGAAAAACATTCCCCCTTTTTGAGTAAAAAAATTGGGAAGAATAGAGAAAATAAGAGGAACATCAGGAAAATTGGGGGAAAATCAGGAAGAAAAAAATCGGGGAAAATCAAAGAAATCGGGAAACCGATTTAAATCGGGTAATTATCAGGCCTGATTAATGTCAGTGTGATATAATTTACGTTTCAGAGTACATGATACTCATATTGTATAGAACATAGACAATATATAGCAGAAAATTACTCATTTCTACAATTAACATGACATAAGAGAGATGCAGAGTTAGCATGAAGCTGGGAATGCTTTCAGCCCTCGATTAATAAATCTAGGTGTACGATAACAAAAGTTGAGGAATAAAAAAGAAAAGGACTGAAATGGCAGTAATGGAGCTTTTAAATCATGGTCTTTAGCTAGCTGATTGGTAGCTCTCCCTTGTTCATACAGACAATTCAAGATTCAAGATTCAAGATTATTTTATTGGTCCATGCATGCAAACATCACATACAAATTTTGCTTCCAATGGCTTTTTTACAGTGAAAATACAAATGATAGAAAATACAATATAACATTTAACAATAGAAAACTATGTACATAAATATGGATAATTATTTATAGTGTGCAATAACTGAGCCCCCGCCCAAATCAACTCTGACAAGTCTTCACTTCTATGCCTTCCATAATCATTGTATTCCTGCGTTTACGTGGGTTTTATTGTTTCATCCAATAAAAACATGCAGATGTACCATAAAAACAAATCAAAATAACAGGTTATATATCATATCATTAATTGTCATATTTTGTAGTCATAAAGTTCAAGTAATATTCCCCTGCAGTTACAATAGATTTATGATATTTGTGTGAGCTCATATGAATGCAATAATCCCAAATCACATACTGATTACATGTATAGATTAACCGTGTTAATGATTTCTTTTTACATTCTCCTAAAGTTATACTTTTTTAAACAGTTGGCATTCATCCATTTACCTGCCACAGAAAATATTGATATCAAATGCATGAATAATTGCTCTGTATTGTGCCTTGTTGTGTTTTCATGTGGGGGTGAGACGAAAATCAATACCAATGAAGCATCGCATACGCATAAATTGGTGAATTGTTTGAAATCAAGAATGGTGTTGACGTGCTGAAGAGCACTTATTGTGATTGGTTTTATGGGTTGGGCTTATTGCTGTCAAAACTGCTGTAAACACGCTCAGATTTGGGTATGCTACCTTTATTTTGCTTTTTGTCAACAGATAAATTTGTATCCTATACATGTATATAATGCAGGAGTAGATGTTACTCTAATCTTGATTTGTGTCTTTGAAATATACCTAAATCTGTTGTTTGTTTTTTCTCATCTTTTTTCATTCATCTCGTTCTCTTATACCTCACTATCTCTCTGTCTCTTTTTTGTTCTTTGTCTTCCCTCCATTTTCCTTTTCCCTCTCTTTCTCATTCACACTCTTTCTCCTCTGAACTTATTGGCTCTCTCTATTTTTCTCCCTCCATCTCCCTTTCTCTTCCCTTCTCTGTATCCCTTTTCTTCCCCTTCTCTCCACTCTTGTTTCTCTGTCCTGCCCCACCCTTTCATCTCTGACTCCCCTTTCTCTTCTCTCTTCTCTCCCCTCATTGTATCCCTCCCCCACTCTCCTCTCTATCTTTCTCTCTTGCCCATTTCCTCACCTTTCATCTCTATGTCTCTCTCTTTCTTTCTGTGTTTCTCTCTCTCTTGCTTTATCTTTCTTTTTCTTTCTCTCTCCCCTTCTTTCACTCTCCCCTCCTTTCACTCTTTATCTCTATCTCTTTTTTTTTGTCCCATCATATTCTCTAAATCGGAAACTCTCCGCTCCACGTATCCCTTCTCTCTCTCTTTCTCTCCTCCTCTCTATCTACTCTGTCTCCCTCTTTCTTTCTCCATCTCTCTCTCTCTCTCTCTCTCTCTCTCTTGCTTTCTCTTTCTCTTTCTCTCTCCACCTCTCTCACCGTCTCTTTCTCTCTTACCATCATATTCTCTCAATCTTCCTTTCTCATACAGAACTTGTGTGGCCTCTCCCAACCAAGAACTTTCCGATCAACTGAATCTCAGGACAGTGTCTTTCTAGTATCATATGATGATAAGGACAATTAAATCATACTATGAGGAGATGTTTCACAGTGCAGATGGTCCTGTAGTCAATAGCCAAGCTGCATAATGATGTGTCGAAAAAAGAGTGTCCACATGTTGTCTCAGCTTATAATGATACATTTTCTGGCAGTTGCTACAGTGCCGATCTTGGGGATGGGGGGGGGGGGGGGGGGGGCGCACTGGACTTATGCAGTAGATGAAATCCATGAGAACAGGATCTTTGAGTGGGGGGGGGGGGTAGGATGTGCATGGGGGTGGAATAATCTCATTCTCACTTTGTCTTTGCCCTCGCTTGTTTCTTTATCTCTCTCTCTCTCTCTCTCTCTTTCCCATTAATCAATGGGGGGGGGGGGGGGGGGTGACATGCCTTATGCCCCTCTCTAGGTATGCCACTGGCTAATTATATTTTGTTCTGAACTGTATGAAATGTTTTTCAGATTTTTTTCAAAAATGTTATTCACAAGGTAAACTGTATATTGTATACGCTTGATAGTCCTGGTCTTATTGGTCCAACTAAAATCAATGCTAATCCTGGAGAGATGTAGGTCCAATTTGACTAGAAACTCATACCATCCTTGTGGACTAATTGAAATTTAACCCCTACCCTGTTAGATGTAGAACCAGTTGGAGGTTGGGGTAAAGAAATAACACTTAAACATTAAAGCCTGTCTGCACTAGTTTTGCCAGGAGGGATTAGACCTCCCTGCATGGTCTCTGACAGGTAGTTATCTCATCAAATCAGTTCTCAATTAAAATGAGACAAGGGGGATCATGGGGGACCAACAGGTACCGCTTAGGCATTGTTTGCTATATAGAGGGCGCAAAGTAGCTGCAAGTAGTGCAGACAGGCTTTAAAACATGAAAACTTTGTTGTTTATGGACTTATTTTCCCCCTCTCTCAATCATTTGGCAGGACAGTGTTTCACAAAACCACGACAAGGACAAGGTCACCAACATCCCATTGAAACACTTGTCCTAAAGTTAACCTTCTGTTTCAAGGGATCTCGGTGGGCTTGTACTAGTGAAGGTTTTACCATGCCCTGATTTTTGTACCAAAAGCGACATATTTGGGGGATGATTTTACCTTAAAGAAAAGAACTAAAGTAGATGTAATACTGTGGAAGAAAATCGTCTGTATGATGTGTAAACTCTGACATGCTTAAGCTCTCATCCCTCCTAATTGCGGAAATTTAATATTTTATCCATATTACATATTATTTAACTTGTGTATATATTGTAAATAAGAATGTACTTGTAAATATATCTTTTCAGTGCAAAATCTCATTCTGATATGGTTATGTTACCTGAGTATTTAAATGTAATAAAGTTTATATTCACCCTAGATTATTAGTGATGCTTCATTATTTGTATATATTGTGCAGTGTGAATATACCTAGAGACTGGTGTTTGCTCATATTAAATTGTGAATATTTTCTATTTTTATTTAAATGCTTGGAAAAGGGAACGTTTGCATCAGACTGATCATCATTCAATGAGTTAAAAAAAATTAAGGCACGTACTTATTACATCCAACTGAGTTTTACATACAACATGAATGCAAATTCATTAAGAAGTAAACATAAGCAAACACAAACACAAAAACTAAACAAAAAACAACACAAGGTATTAAACACAACAGCCAAGGGCATCACCTTTTGCAGGGTGCGAACATTTCAATGACCTATTACTATAACGGAAGTGTGTTAAGTTGTTTCATTTACCAGAGAGTTTGTGCCCTTCTGGCTCTCAACAGATCATGTATAGTCGTTTGTTTGGTGAATTTCATAAATCCCTGGTTGTTCTTTGCCAAACATACATATTAAAAGATTGATGAAAAGAAGTCGCATCAATACCAAAGTCTGTCTCCCAAAACACCAGTCATGCAGTTTTAATCAGAGCTTGAATGTTTTCTTCGACATAACATTGTTCTAAATTATCTTGACCTGTATTATCGGACTCAACAAAAATACAACTGTATCATCAAGGTAGGGAAACCTTACAGAAAAGTTGATGTCAGATCTCTACCAAACCCTCGCCAGTATGCTCATATTAAAGATATTCCGTATCTATGTTCATTAATGAGACAGAAACGGAGATTCTATTATTATCTTTGTTTAAATCTTCAGCATTGAAATAGATTAATATATCTTTTGTATCGTAATCGATACAACTATCATTTCATATAATAAAGGAAACGACTTCAACATTTTACCAGAAGGGTGAATGTTAATGATTATTCAAATACTTATTGGTTAGAAAAAAAACATTTGATATGTAGCCCAAACATATTTTACAAATTCTTTGGCAAACGGAATGAAATCACTTTCCTTATATGACCTACGGTTGTAGATCTAATGATGGGCCATGAATTTGAGAGAATGTATGTATAAAGGTCAATAATGAAACCTCACATGATTTTTATCCAAATGTCAAATGGAATATAGACGTCATAGAACGAAGTACATGTAGGATTAGGATGAAGGAAACACCTTTTAAAGAGCAAATAGGTCATGAACTCATGATAAATGTATAATCATTGCGTCAACTAAACAAGAAATGTCAAATAAGAAAAGAAAAGGGTGCAAAACAAGAACACTTAGATAATGTACAATTTTTCGAAAATATTGGCGCTCTTGATTGGGCTTTCTTTATATTGTTCTGATGTACGCCCGATATTCAATAATGGGGGGCATGTGCCCCCCCCCCCCCGAAAAAAAATTGTCCAAGATCGGTTTAACTTTTTTAGACCCCTCCCCACGACGTCAATCAATTACATGTATGTGCTCCCCCCCCCCCCCCCCCAACATCAAACTCTGGCTACGGCCCTGTATATTGTCCGAAGTCACAATGTCAGCATCAACAATGTTAAATATAATAATAATGATACTACTATTATTAATAATAACAATGATGATAATAATAATAATAATAATAGTAATAATCAAAATTATACTACTAATAATTTTATTATAAAAGTATTATTAGTAGTATTATTTTAATTATTACTATAATCATTATTATTATTATTTATTACTATCATCAATGTTATTATTTTATCATTATTATTGTTATTATTAATAATAGTTGTATCATTATTATTGATATTGTTGATGCTGAATAATGATGATAATAATAATAATAATAATGATAATGATCATGATCACGATGATAATGATGACGATAACGGGTCTAATAATATATATTGTACCTTGCCCAGGCGCGTACGCAGGATTTTTTTCAAGGGGGGGGGGGGTTAAAATTTATAAATCGGGCCGAAAAATTCTCAACGACTCAGCAAGCCGCTGAATAAGCGGGGGGGGGGGGGGGTGTAAGAGGACAATTTTTTGTTTTCGTCTCGAAATTTGAAGAAAAAAATGAAGAAAAAAAATCCAAAGGGGGGGGGGGTTAACCCCCCCCCCCCCAAACCCCCTTCCTTGTGTACGCGCCTGACCTTGCCCTTTCCTCGTCTTTTTAGAGTGGTGAGAAGACGAGGAAAGGGCAAGGTTAAAGCACTATGAGAAACTTAGGAAGATTAATAGCCTGATGACGTTCAAAGAATGTAAGGTTTCCTTATTAAGAAAGGTTAAACTAAATAATATCGTGTTGCATCCGGATGCAGTAGGTCAACGCAACTAGAGCACTAGTAAATGTATTAAAGGCCCACTGCACTACTGGTAGCTACTTGCGCCCTCCATATAACAAACAATGCCTAATCGGTGACAATTGGTCCCCCATGATCCTCTTTTTCTTATGTTAAGTGAGAGCTGAGTTGATGAGATAACCACCTGTCCAGTGACCTTGTAGAGCGGTTTAATCCCTCCTACGGCAGATAAGCTTTAACTCAGTAAGGTCCGTTTCCTCTTATTCAGGTCTTGGTAAAGTCAGCAAATAATCATGTACTAAACTAAATGACTTCTTTCCCTCTGTTATAACTAAGTTGGGATGCATCGCAGTTGCGTTGATAGCTACAAGGTTAGAATAGTACAGATGCAGGACATGGTAGGATAGCATTGCACAAAACCAGCGCCTAGAGGACTTGTCTCAGTCGTTTTCTTACTATCAATTTACAATGTTTACACTAAGGCTAAAATCATGAATGGCATTTCACTTTTTCCTTTGATTTGTACCGAGCAAAAGCCTGTTCGCAGAGACTAAGTCAATTGAGTTCGTCTAACGTAGATGTGGATTTAGCGCGCGATTGTTTGCGTGAGAAAATTGGAAGTATACAGTAGCAGAAACCCGCAGACGACCAGAAGTTAAATTTGATGTGCTGTAGAAATGTCAATGATTTGTCATCGGAATTTGAAATGTTGCAGTCATTTTTAATTGAGGTGATGGCCTCGGAATTATTGTAGCGAACATCTTTGTGATAATGATTTTGGATTAGAGATGCGCATTGCCGGGCTATATTAGTTCTCGTTCTTATCAAACGTGGTCATTTCGGTGGAGTTTTTTTGCTCGTTGCGCTTCAATTTTCAAGAGCCATCGTTGATCTTACACTCGTTGTTCGAATCCTAGAATTTTATCTTCTTCCAAACTTAAATACTAATTCTCGCAACTTTTATCTGGTTCATATTATTACTTCGTATAGATGCATGATTGTCTTTAAAACAATTTGACTCTTTTTTTAATGGCAGAAACAATGTATTCGAAATAGCCCTTCAAAATGTGCCTATATCAGAAAACTCAACGTTGCAGTATTTTCTAACGACTATCTGTATGGTTGACAACTCGCAATCTTTCCTCGTGGAATTGAGAAGAGGTCAACATATTCAAATCCAAACAGACGGCTGGACTGGCTCGCTTGCAGAGCCAAAGGTGACTCAACCAATTACAACCTAAACAAAATAATAAGAAACATGTGAGAGACAGATTGTCTCTAACAAGAACAGCCTTTGGTTTCCCCCCTCGTTAGTGGACTGTCTATGCGCTTACAAGATCGACGTATCTTCGTTAGTATCCCCGTTGCCAAGATTTATCAACATTGTCGACACGTGGAGTTAATGAGCAGTATTGTTCAAGAACAGCTAGCCATTTCATGTCATGAACGTCTTCAAGAAAAACGGGTAAGTTTTCGTTCTTAAGTTCTTCAGTTCACCAGTGTGTTTGGTATAGACCTAATACGAAATAGAAATTGTTGACTTGACTATGTCATAGTTGTAAGT